GTCATGTCTGTAGACCATATTTGTATATTTTTAAAACTTCTTTTTGCATCATGCAGTGCAGATGTTGTCCTGCTACCTGATTCCCTCCTACCTGCTTGTCATGCAGAGAATGGGCAAGAGCTACACGTTGGTGTGTGCTTCTAGGAAAGTGGATGCTAACCCAGGGGATGGAGTCAGAGGCAAAGGAAAAAATGGATTTTCATACTCGTGGCACCTCAGCATTCCAGAAATTCCTATTTCAGTGTCTTTCTTCTGGTGTTTCCTTTCACCCCTAATGTCTAATTGTTCTCTGCTTTGGAGACAGGTTGCTTGTTTTTGCGCACAGCTGATAGTGAAACGTACTTGCTGGGCATGCGCTCTGCCACTGAGCCACAGCCACAGCCCAGAAGGCAGCTTTTAAATGCAAACTATTTACAAAAAGTGTCCTTAATATTGATGTATTGTGCTCACTCATAGAACTGACTTCAAACGCAGAATCAAATACAGGTCTCAGAACTTCTCAGAGTCCATCAGTAAGTAGTATGTGGAGATATGAGAACAATAGCTTACTTATGTCCAGGAGAATTTGGACAAGCAAATAAGCTCTCTGTCAGCTCTGTAATCTCATTCAAAGGAAATGAAGAAAGCAAATACTATTTTGCACATTAGGACTTTTTTCTTTTCTTAAAGGATTTGTTCTTGGGGGAATGTACTGTAGCAAGGAAGCAATGTACTGTAAATGTGTGAGCAAGACAGTTTCACTCGTAGTTATTGCACATGTGTTCAAGCACATTTTTGTTGGTAGAAAAGTTGAAGACAGTAAGAAAAATAAGGGCAAAGAAAAGGCAGATCATGGGGCTGGGGATTTAGCTCAGCAGCACAGTGCCCACCTGGCAAGCGCAAAGTCATGAGTTTGATTCCTGGTACCAAAAAAAAAAAAAAAAAAAGAGAAAGAAAAGAAAGGGAAGATCATGATATGTTGTGCCAATGAAGGGATGTACAAAAATATCAACAACGATCCATGATAACTTTAGGATGCAACACATGACCATGGGACAGCAAATATGATAGGGTTGCAAAAAAGACAGCGAGGCTAATTCGATCTTTTGTGAATCAGAAAGTTTGTATTTGGCTAGTTGGTTGGCTGGGAAGCATGAATTATTTGAAAAATGGATTGAAGTGAATTTTGGGCATTTTCAGACAGAGGAACGGTCTGAGCAGTGGTGGGTACCAGCAATACGTTCAATGTCCAGTGAGATTTTAAATTTTTCCTGGTAGTCTGCATGTTTTATGGAGAGCTCTGCAAGACAGGGGAAAAGTTCAACTAGACCTTCATGGTCGGGTTGCTACCTGAAGATTTTTGTATTTAGTACAGAGCAAAGAGATTTCCACTGAAACGGAAGACTTAATATTACTAGTGGAAATGGCACTGATGGATTAAGCACAGAAGAGCGCAGACAGATATGGTGGGAAAGGGAAATTGCAGTAGCAAACACTTACAACAAAATGACACTGAGTATTTGCAAAATGAATGGAAAGCATGTGACAAAGCTAGGAGATATTTTGAAATTTCAAGCATCAGGCATTGGGGGAGAGAAAGGAAGGATATTGCACTTCATAGAATATATAGTCAAGGAAAAGGTGGTGAATTTAAATTTCCATGAATTTTCCTGTGCTATGAGAAAGCTGCATTCGCTTTGTACCTTTAGAATTTGAACAGATGGATGAATAAGCAAACGGCTGTTTGCCTAGAACAGATTTAGGAGATGACACCTAGAGATGCATGCAGTTCAGATAGGTCATTCAGAGCCCAGCACTGAGAATCTGGAGTCTGCTCATAGTTGACAGACCAGGATAATGAAAGGGAAATCTGCTTTTCTAGATAAAGGATCTGTCGATTTTTTTCTCAAAGAAGCAAAGTCATGCAAACTAAGCAGAGCCACAGCCTATAAATATTTGCAAGGACATAGTGTAAACATTATAGTTTACCCAATTTAAACCCCAATTGAAATTTCTTTAGTTTTCCTAAAAATGTTTATTTCTAGATTTCTTTTCTCCCTCCTACAGCTCTCTAGTATTCAAAGGTAAAGATTCAATCAAACAGCTATATAAAAAACTTTTTGAGTCACTAGACTCATATATGGCCCAAAAGGTATGACTTGGCTGCTAAGAAAGATTAAAAGTCTTCTGATTGTCTTAACAGAGGGCCAGTGATGGAACCAGCCATCCTGCTTTGCCACTCTGGGTAGACCACACCTAGTCTACACATCTGCATGTGTAATTACGGAAGGCTCATTCAGAGCCATTGCTGTAGGCTCAAGCATGTTCAGAATAAAGTGATCAGGGAACCATGGGGTGCAAATCCCTGAAGTTGCATGTGGGTCTGTGAATCTTTAGCTCAGAGAAGAAAAAGCAAGGGAATAGCTGTGATCTTAAAACATTTCAACAAGTACTATTATGAGTTAGACTGTGTCCTCTCAGAAGATACATTGAATTCTAATTCTCATTACCTCAGATGGTGTTCTTATTTGGAAATGGGGTCATTGCAGGTGTCATTTGCTAAGGTGAAGTCATAGGACTCTAGGGTGAGCCTCTAATCCCGAAGGGTGTTATATTTGCTTACAATGTGGCCGTGTGAAAAATAAGAGATAGAAGACCCTGTAATAATGAGGGCAGAGACCAGAGTTACACAAACACAAGACTGCTAGATTCGGAAGCGTGCCGTGGGTAGCTAGAAAGAGGCAAAGAAGGATTTCCGAACAGGTGCCGGAGGGAAAATAGTTTGCTGACATCTTACTTTCAGATTTCTCGCCTAGCCTGTAAGAAAATAAATTTCTCTTGTTTTACGGCAGATTTTCAACTCAACGTGAATGAGAATTTGCCCGCAGTTGAAGCCACCACAAAATGAACCCAAGGGCCCCTGCCAGTTGTGAGCGGTTAGGCAGGAAGAATCACTCATGTGTCTGAGACAGTCATTTTGCATCACATAGCAGGATAGACTCAATGATTCCCAGGGAAATCATTTTATAGTCCCATCAAGTTGAGGTTGGTAGCTTGTTTTTCATTTTCTGCTTCATTTAAGAGTATATAAGGATGAGACAGCATGAAAGAAAATGTTTAGATGCAAACTCTAGTACTCACGTCATTCTTTCCTCACTGAGTCAGCCTTCCTCCTTACTCCCCACCTGTGAAAAGGACATTAACAGTACTGGCCTTATTACCATCAAACTAGCTAATAATTTGAGGTGTTTAGAGTAGGGCATGGCTTACAGTAAGTACTGGAGGAACATTTGTTGAACATTTATTTGCATCACTACTAGATACAATTTATTAATTATTTCACATACCACTGGTGTTCCTCCTCTCCAAACTGTGAAGAATTACCGTCAAGCTACAACTAATTGCATCTTTCAATATTGTGTCTTTTTCTAGATCTAGATTTGTACAGTGTTAGGCCATATTCAGAGCACAATGCAGAAATACACTATTTTTCCAATTTTCTCCTTACAAACTGGGATGATGTTCTTGATAATGCCAGGACTGAAGTGTGACTATGTGGTCCAGGTGCTTAGGGGAAACAAATCTTTCAACGGTGCTGTTTTCAAAGAATACGGAATACACCAAACAAGGCTTAACTGAGCTTTGGGTACTACTGTGTTGGAGAGAGACATGAAGTACTCAAAATTAAATCCTCTACATCTAAGTATTTTATTAAATTGATATCAGTTGGTAACTGATGGCCCATTTTAGTCTTTGGAGTGAATAATAAAAGCATTTTCCAGCATCTGAAACTCTTAATAAACGGTGCATAATTGTTAAAACAAAACATTCCGTGACTTAAATTTAACATGTTTTAACTTACATACAATGTACAGCATCATCAGAATGTGAAGGTGACATCTTTGACACGCTAATGACGCCCCAGGCGAAACCACAGCTACTGTCACTACAATGAAAGCATCCACAGGTAGCAGTGCATATACTTGTACAATTCTGCTGCCGGTGATTTTGTAACAGTGATTTGTCTACCCTGGAAACATGGAGGACAGAGAACAGAGGGACTGGACGTCCTTTTAGAAGAGAGCAACTGAGTGGGACAGCATTGCTTTTCAACTGGCCACGTCCCACAGGGCGATGAGGAGGCCCCACTGCGCAAGGACTGAAAGGCACCCTCGATGGGAGGGAGATGCTCAGAAGCCGGTGTGAGCCCCAGACTGGGAAGAGGGCTGTATTTCCAGAATCCATGTGTGCTCTGTCACAGCTCCCGCATTTTCATGAAGGCATAAAACGAAGGCATCTGTGTGGCAGAAAGACAAGCTTTTCCTTTAGAACTAAGTCCCAGTCATAAGTGCCATTTTATACTCTGTGAGCCGTGTGCTCTTAGACAAGTCCCATGAGTTCCCTCATCTCAGACACCTGACTTGTAAAATGTGAATAATGTCCTCTTCATTTAAGATTGTTTTCAGGACTGAAAACTGTGCTGATGTGAGCCACCCAGCTCAGCATTTGTGCATGAAGTGTGGGCTGCTGTGTTTCAAGGATGAGACGCCTCATCTGTCAGAGGTTCCAAACGCAGACTCTCAGTGTCGAACTGTACTGTTCAGCTCAGTCAGAGCGGGTATGAGTCAGGGTCACAGACGAGGCAAACTCATCAGTTCACCTCAAGTTGCCAAGCCTTACTTCATCTCAACTCAAAAACTGTTTTTTGGAGTCTGCAAACTGAGTGCTGAGGAAATATATAGATGAATCAGACTGTTAAAGAACTTCTGGGACATACAATTCAAAATCAATATAAATAAATACACCCTTTATGATCAATTGAAAAATGTCTAACAAAACAAGTGAAATTGTCTTAAGCATGTAGTCAGCATTTACACAGATATGTTCAGCAAAATCACACTACAGCCTTACATATCTTTCCTTTTTCAGATAGATGTTATGCACTTGATAGGAATCTTAGTGTTTTCTCATTGGTAGCTATTTTCTTTGTTTAGTTCCTGTTCTTTATTTTTCTGATTTAGTTTGTGTGGCAGTGTGGAAGAACCACCACATGAGGACAGTAACCAACTACTTCATAGTCAATCTCTCCCTGGCGGACGTGCTCGTGACGATCACCTGCCTTCCAGCCACACTGGTGGTGGACATCACAGAGACCTGGTTCTTCGGACAGCCCCTCTGCAAGGTGATTCCTTACTTACAGGTAATTCCTTTTCATACTTTTTAGTTCAATCAGAAACTACTGAAAAGAATTTTTCAATTATAGTTATGACCTTTGATAAATTAGTGGGTGAGCTAAGAAAGAAATATAGTTCCCTAGGAATGTGCAAACTGATGGAAGAAGATGCTTGAGATTTCTGAGGACACACATTAAAGTTTGGATAAAATTAAAACCACAAAACAGTCAAATCATCTTGCAATGTTCTAGAAATATCTGACTTTTTAAATTCTTAATTTCCCTATTGTTAAATAATGAACTTGAATGAGTTAATAATGGAGGCTCTCTCAGTCCAAATAATCAAGAATACCTGTTTTTATAAGTGGTTTCTTTGCACCCTGAAGAATGAAGAGCAATATGGTCAAAGGATTACAGTAGGCATCTTTGATTGTCAGTTCTGAATCAAACTACATACCTGGTTTGAAATCCATATTTTGTCATTTACAGTTGGGATACTATCAAGCCAAATATAGACTCTTTGCATTTCATTTATTTAAAAGGGACTATACCTTTAATGAGATGCATCTCATATGATTGTTGTGACAATTTAGTAAATAGTGATCTTATAATATATTCTTAAGGTCAGCTATCAAGGTCCTCTTTAGATGGTTTATTAGCCAACAGAGAAAGGCTTTTCCATATCTGGGTGCCTTTACAGTTTAGGAATAAAGACTTTCAGAGAGTAATTTTCTGATTATTGTTGTACTCTATGACATGTGGAGAAAAAAAGATTCTAATATAGTGTTTACAGCTACACTCCTGAGAGAGATCCATTCACTTTAAGAAATAGACAGTAGCTTCACTCTACCTGTCTTCTAGCCCTGGTGTTCTTCTCCCAAGGCTTCTAGGTGTGATCTTTGTATTTGCAAGAGGAAAAAAAATAGAAAGTTGGGAAGGCCACGAATAGCCCATTACTAGAAATTGTATTGATTAGCCTTTTGAAACCAAAATGTTACAAAGGGATATTCAGCTTAATAGTTCTTCAGCCTCTGATAGAAGGAAGTGACAATTTTTAGGGTCACATATTATTGCCAAATAGAAGTTACAAGGTTGCCTTGGATGACCCTACTTAAAATGATGGATGGATTAAAAAACGACCTGTAGCAAATTTTTGGACGAACACAATATGAGGAACAACAGAGACAAAACATCTCCACAAGACAAAAGTCAGGGAAACTGGGGCTCTGATGGTTTTTGCACAGAGGAGCTGGGAAAATCATAAATAGCAGAGAATTCTAATAGTTCAGCACCTCTGTGGTACTTCCAGCAAATGTTTTATGTCTCTTAGTTATAATAATCACCCATGGTAAAATGTTGGTGAGCTTCCCATGTTTCAGGAGGGCCCTAGCTGCCCTGAATCCTCAACTTGTCGTGCACACTTCCTGTCCTGTGAAGCAGAAGCTTCAGGAATGGAGTGATGAAAGACGGATCCATCACCTTTGGCAGGTGCCGTCCTCTTCTGATGCTCAGGGACATCCTGTTGTGGGTGGGGGTTTCAGAGACTTCTTTGAGCACTTAAAGACAAACCAAAGGCAGAGTTAACCTGTGAGCGATGCGAGGCATGAGTCCCAAAGTCTCGGGCAGAGCACAACTTATTAAGAAGCTCTACAGTAGAAGGAACACCCTCACTGCCAAAGAGCTTCTGTGCATAGTGCCCAGCCCGCTCAGCTCCATAGTGGATTCTCTTCTCTATAGATCAAAGAGAAAGCTAATGAGCAACCATGGGTGGAAGAGACTAGCTCTAGCATTTATTCACCCAGCATTACTGCTAGGTGGATGTGTATAAGTGCACAAGCAGATTCACACACTAATTGGTGATCCTTTCCCATAGAATCTGTTCAGTTTCAATGAACAGAGCCAATGTACAATAGTGGAGGTTTCGAAACTGATGGACTTTTTGCTCGGATGTAGAATTTACGTCTTGCTGAACATTGAGAAACATAGTACATATCTGCCAGCCATGTTTTAAGGTTATTGGGTTTATTTAAGATTCCTTGGGCATTTATTAATTTGCTATAATATATGTGTTCTTTTTCTTCCAAAGACAGTACAATCTTTAGATTTATGAGTGATTTATATCACTGGCAAATGCTCAAACAATTTAAACTCTTACACATCTATTAAAACTTAGCTGAATAATTAAAGCGGCCCTTTAAATTTTTAATAATCCTATAATTTCAAGACCATAAACATTTATCAGCGTATTGACTAAATAAATGACCTTTATTGCACTTACTGACAAGAACAGTTGGCTGCTTTTCAGGATGATTTAAGAAAATAAAACTGCTTAGGAGGCTCTGCACAATAAGTGCCAGGAAAAAATGAGCCAAACATGAGTGAGATATAGGTGGTAGATGCTGGGTAGACAGAAATACTGCTTTACCACCCCACAGTCTACTTGTGTGGATCACCCAAATCTATGATTTGGCAAAATTTCTATTTCTCCTTGTCTCAGATCTTTGAGATCTTTGGGCAAGTCTACATACTACATGCTAGTATAAAATAAGGGTGCATTCTAACAAACCTCTTAGTCTAGTTATTGAATCCCCAAGCATTTCCCTGAGCAGAGAGTGTCCACGGCGCATGTGAAAGGCCGAGGGCATGAAGGCAAAGGAAATTCCCTTCGTCGCATATTTGCAGCACTAACAACGTGCACTGGATTCATCCCTCAAAGGACTTGCCACCAGACTGACTCAAGCTACCACCATCCCAGACTTTAAGAAAGAAGGCTCTAGAAGAGCGACCCCACAAATAGGAAGCAGTTACAAATCTCTCATTGATCATAATGAATGAGAACATGAAAGCTGATATCTCCCTAAGGAAACATTAAAGCTTGGGTGTTGATTACATACTGATGTATCTTATACACCTGCAAACATGGAAGTTGAAACAGTGACATTAAGACTATCAAGAGTTCACATCAAACAGTGACTATCAAGAGTTCACTGATGTACTGTATGTTGGAGTCAGTGGAGTCTCCCATTAGAATCACAGCAGTGTGCCCATTCACCTTCTGTACAGTACAAAGGGCGCAGTGCCCTGGGTTACTCTTGGTAGTGGATATCAATCTTTTTCAATGTAAAGTGATAGGAATTGACTGTTACTAGTTAATAGTAGTGAGAAATACTGAAAATGATATTTGAATTTGAGTCATGCTACTTCTATCTCACTCATTTAGGTTGATTAGAATTCATATATAATAAACCACTAAGCTTGATGAACAATTTCCACATCTAATTGTTAGGATAAATATAGCCCAGCCTCAACTGCTGAGAAAATCAACTGTGCAGATCTACACTACCTTGACTCTATGTCCAGGTTAAGGAACCCTTGGTCTTGGCTTATTTGCATGAAGGAATGGAGATTGGTGGGGGTAGAAGTGAATTTTTTTTATACTGACTTAAAGGTATTCTAACATAATACTGAAAAATTCATAATACTGAAAAAAGCCCGTCCTCGTAGAGCTCAGTCCTTTAAAATTACAATGAATTGGCCTCCAAGAACCTCGCGAAGCTTAGGCTTTTACTGTAATTTCTACTGAAACGCAGTCCTTCCCAATGTTAACCTGGGACTCCCAACTCTTGAATGGAGGATAAAACTAATGAGTGTAATCATAACTACTTTTACTATAATTATAATAAGTCATAGCGGGACATAGCACTTACATGGCAGAGCCTCCTTAGGAATTTTATATTTCAACTAACTCTCCCTACAATGCCATGGCTGGGTACTATTTGCCATATTTCATAGGGGAGAAAACTGAGGAATAGAGAGGTTACATAACTTACCCCACACCACAGGATGAGATGAGAATCAGGCTCAGAACACTGGCAGCAGAATTCATCCCAGTTACACTCTTCATCTTCCAGAGAGAATCAAAAGCATCAGAACTATAAGCGTTTCATCTTTCCATTTTCCTTCATTTAACAGAAACACACACACACACACACACACACACACACACACAGACAAAGCCATAAAGTGAGCAACCTGACATGATGTAGCTCACTGGTGGGAGAGTGAGAACAGGTAGGTTGTACTGACACTTGCCCCAGAGCTCTCTCCTCTGGTCTGCTGCAACTCTCAGCTTCCTTTGCCCCGTTCACGCCCACAGTGAATGCATTAACAAAGGTCTTCACGTGAGATGCAGAGATTCCTGCCCACAACACATACAACAGGATCAGTAGAACTCAAACAGAAAAGAGGAGGAAAATGAGTGGACCGGCACTGTAACAGCAGAATGAGGCTTACCAGTATTAACTGAGTAAAAAGCAGTTGTTAAGTACGTGATGCACATCAAAGGCTTGCCAACTTGGAGCACAGTGGTGATGTTAAAAGTAGTTCCTTTTGACATACAGCTGTATCGCAATGGAGAAAACAAACATAAATAAGAAAATTAGAGAAACCTCTAATGTAAGGGGGAATTTTGAGAGTGACACCAGAGTCAGTGTTTCATCCAGGATAGAAAAACACATTAAATATGATTACATAAAGGATGTGGAAATAGGCATGTTTGAAATGTTTCTTAATTTTTTTCCTTAAAATTCCAAGTTAAAGCATCACTTGTGGTTTTGTTAATTATTTAGAAATCCGTCCTGGGTGAACCTCATGTTTTTTAGAGGAAAGTTACTCATGCTAGCAGCAAGTAAATAGAGAAAGGAGATACATAAAATTTTCTTTCAGTATGACTCATGCCTTTAGTTGTATTAACATATTAGAAATGAACTGATGTACAAATTCCCTTCTTATTTGAAAATATAAATTTAGGCACACTTATGTCATATACCCTAATTAAATGTAAGTTTTACCAAATTCCTAGATGATAATTTATTAGAAAGTAAAGGACATGCCATAGTATTCTCTCTCTCTCTCTCTCTCTCTCTCTCTCTCTCTCTCTCTCTCTCTCTCTCTCTCTCTGTCTCTGTCTCTGTCTCTCTCTTCTTTTAGTAGCACTGGGGATTGAACCCAGGTCTGCACACTGAGCTACACCTCCAATCCTTTGTAAAAATTTAAACTGTGAGACAGGGTCTGGCTAAATTGCTAAATTGCACAGGCTGGAATCAAACTTGTGACCTTCTTGCCTCGGTTTCCCAGAGTGCTGGAAATACAACCATGTGCCACCATGACTAGGCAGCATGTTTTCTCCTTAAATGAAACAGAATTTTAGAGTTCAGAATAGTCATATGTGTTGTACTTCTTTCTATTTGAGGCTATAATTTACCTTATCAACAAAACAAAGTAATCACAGTAATTACTCAAATGGGGTCACATTATAAATTAAAACATTTGGCATAGAAAAGATTCCAGGGTTTTCATAGAACCTTTCTGATGTCTACCAGAAATACACATATTTCAACACACTTCTAATTTTTTCTTTTTCACAAACTCTCTCGTACAGTAGAAGTCCCTTGCATGCATTGCGCCTTGGACAACCTTGAGCGCCCCGCCTGTCGCGTTCCCTTCCCACACGATGCTCACAGCGAGAGCCACCCCGTGACGCCCGGCGCTCTCTGTGCCCCGCCCTCTCCTGCAGACCGTCTCGGTGTCTGTGTCCGTGCTCACGCTGAGCTGCATCGCCTTGGATCGGTGGTACGCCATCTGCCACCCTCTGATGTTCAAGAGCACAGCCAAGCGGGCCCGGAACAGCATCGTCATTATCTGGGTCGTGTCCTGCATCATCATGATCCCTCAAGCTGTCGTCATGGAGTGCAGCACCATGCTGCCCGGCTTGGCCAACAAAACCACCCTCTTCACGGTGTGCGACGAGCACTGGGGAGGTAGGCAGTCCAGGCGGGACGTCACGCCTCCAACCGAAATTCTGATAACCATGACTGTGCCAGCGCTGGCTGGCGTATTTTATTGGCAGTGGATAATACTGTGTCGCAAAAGTGTGAAAACCCACTCTTCCCTGACCCTTCCTCTGGCCCTGGCTACCTCGCATCGGCACCTTCAGCCAGGAAGTTGCCGGAGGACTGACCTGCTTATGAGCAGCACCCCAGGACCCATCCACCTTTCAAAAGCCTCGCCTCTGAAAACCTTAGGCTTTTACGGGACATTTTAGGTCTAAACCACAAGCACTTGTTTATTGGAAGGATATCAGTTATGCTTATTAGAAGTATATGATCAAAAACTAAGATTGCTTATAGTTGTCATATTTTCAAATATTTGAATCCTTGCATTTATGATAATTCTCAGTTGAGGTGCTTTTATTGGAAAAATTGAAAAGAAAAAAAATCAGTAACTGGAAAATTTAGCATAACACTTTCACTACAGCAGACCAAATTTAAAAGACTCTAGTATTTTTTTATATGACTGTCATAAGACATCTGATACCAAAAATTTCAATTGGCTTGATCCATTATGGAAATATTAAATATATCTTTTGCATTCATCTCTACCCTTCGTTCCTAATATTGCAGTTGTTTTGTTATACTTTTTAGATAATCTTCAATTTCCCCTAATTTTCCTCTTTAATACTACCCACAAAAACAAAATGAATGGAAAGTCCCAGGGCTCTAATTTATGTCTCTTTGGTCCTATGCATGTGATGCTCAGTGTCTTGAGACTTAGAGTTGTCTTGAGGAGGAAGAGATTGTGCCAGTGTGTCTGACAGGAAAGGTATCCTGTGATCAGCACACTGATTTATTTATACACAAAGTGCTAAGAGCACACGTGAGAAAACAAACCCAGTCCCAGTCATTCAGACAAAAGCTTATGATGACACTTACCTGCCAACAAAGCATTAAAGATAAGCAGGAGTTCTGCAGCCAGGGAGGATGGAAAGGGGTGTTTCAGGAAGCAAGGAAAACCCCATGGACACATCCAGAGAAAGACAGGAAGAAGGGTAGACATGTAGCTTGTGACAGGCAGGTGCTCGATGAAGAACTGGATTAGAAAGAAGGTGGTGCAAGGACAGTTTGGGACATGTTCCTTATTTGATTCTTTTATGGTAAACGATTTTTGGAGAACAGTCTAGAATCCCTTAGTCAGAATCTTTTATTCACAACTAAACTGAGCCCTAATGAGATTAAATTTTTTGTTCAAGATTAATTTAAAAAAAAGTGTCCATGAAAATGCAAAATTTCCAACCCAGAATTTGAGATCTTTTAAGATTACAGAGATTGAAATTAGATAAAATTCTTAGTATTATTATTTAATACATGTCAGTAGTGGTTTTTCTGAAGAATTATGATATTTAGTTTCATTCATTTGCATGTTTATGGGATATAACAGAAACGTTTTGTGTCCTAAATAATCAAGTAGCATTAACTCTTAGTAACAAAAACATTGCAAAGATAGACTCTTTTCAATGATTATGAACAACGGGTTCAATATTTCAAATTACCTTTGAACAGTATGTATAAATTCATAAAGTTCATTTCTACCTCTATTATTTTATCATGCAACTCTTCTACATATATTTTCTTTTTAATAAACAGTTATCTAAGTACCTTTTAAAAATCTAAACTCAGCCTTCAGAAGTCATTTAAGAAAACTCTTTGAAAGTGATTATAATTATGGCATCAGGGCTATTATGAGATTTTGAAAGCATCTAAACATACCTATACATGTGTTAGTTGGAAATTTTTAAACATTTATTAAAGGAAAAGATTTATAAAGCATATTAAAGATTCATTAAATTTAATGGACCCATGAACTTTTCAACAAAAGTCAAGTTGAATACCAGCAATTTATCTTTAATCTACTTGTCCATTCAGTCCCTGATAAATGTAGCAAGAAGGAGAAATATTTGTAGTTTTTAGATAATTAGTTTAATATGCTAGTTGAACAATGAACCTTAATTTATCTGAGAAAAATTAAGTTTTTTCTGTCTAATATAGGACATTACAATTTACTTTCTGATTTCAAAGACTAAGAACCATATTTGTCCCATATTTGTTGATTTTGTATATATATATATATATATGGAAAAAATAATTGAGATTTTACTTACCATCAGTTGAATAGAGACACAGATTCTCAACAGCTGTCACTCTTCAAACTGCTATGTCCTAATTAAGGTAGTGTTCAAGTGAAACAAATTTTATTGTTTAATTCAAGGTTATATGTAACTATCATAACATATAGTGAAGACATTGCCTGTGGAGTGCAGAAAGTCTTCAAAGGTGCCTTCAACACACCATTTAAATTTTCAGTGGCACATATGAAATTTCCATTAGCTTGCTGCAAGCATGAAATGACAAATTTCAGACTACCTTTTTCCCCAGTCATCTATCATACTGTCCTCATTAAAACAGTCTAACCCGAAAGTGCAGCTCTGCGTGGTCACCTTTTCTTCGTGAGTACTCATAATGTGCACTTTCCATCCACCACATACTTTCCCAATGTTTATGAATACATCATCTGCACACTGAGCTTGCTTCCACTTCCATCTACTCAGTGCTTCCAACCGTTGTCACATGATGGTATCCAGAGCTGTAGTTTGAAAAAAAAAAAATAGTGACCTCTCAAATCTACCATCCTCTGCTCACCCAATTTAGTTTGATGCAGGTATTAGGGCTTCACAGATATGTAAGCTTCAAAGGTGTATTTTTATGTAGAAAACTCATGTGACACTTTCCTCAAAACTAATAAAAGTTCAAAGCCACTCAGGTACCTGGAAAGTGCTGAAGTTGCCTTCCAGTGCCTTTGAAATTGGCCCACCAAATGCAGCTCAGCTGGAGTGCTTCAAAGGGACACGCTATTCATTATTCCTCCAGTCAGCCTGCTTAAATTTTACCACTTTTTATGTATGTGGCCTGGTTTACAGGATAAACCTGAAAGGAAGCTAGAAGCTGTCCAAGCAGATGAGTGTCTCCCAGGCCAGAAAAAGGCTAAAATGATGCCTCAAACTTGTCCCTTGGATCTCGTAGGCACATGTCGCCTACCATCCCTTCTGAGGACTACCATGGGGAAAGAAGATGGAGGCAGATTTTTAGAAGGAAGAATACAGAGAAAATTAGACTCAAATTCAGCCAACTCTGAATCACAAACTATGGAAATGAAATTATTGAGGGTGTGAATTCATCAATAAATTTAAAATGCATTCAGTAAGATTTAAATCCATGATTAAATAAATTCACAGGCATTTAAAATGTATTCATTAAGAATTAAATCCATGATTACAGAATAAATGTTGTCTATTGTTAAGGTCTCTACAATACTTCTTATTGGTAAATTCTGAATATCAATTGTTCTTATCACAAATTTGATCATATAAATCCAGATTTCATCTTCATATCTATCTATAGTAAAGGAAAAATGCAAGAGGTGGTAATATTACCTCTCAGTATGGAGCAAATCCACTTACCAATAACAAGGTCAAAATATAGGGGACATATTTTGTATTAGTTTGAAGGACAGATATAGCTCCAAAATAATATTTATTAATTAGTCAGATGTAGTCAAGCCAAATTAAGTGAAATACATATATATATATGGAGAGAGAAAGAGAAGGTAAATTAATACTTTGAGGGAAATACAGTGACAGGATTTGCTTTTTAAAATATTCATGAATTTTAAGATGAGATTTTTATTATTCTGATCTTCATCCCAGGTGAAATTTATCCCAAGATGTATCACATCTGCTTCTTTCTGGTGACATACATGGCGCCTCTATGTCTCATGGTATTGGCTTATCTGCAGATATTTCGTAAACTCTGGTGCAGACAGGTATGTAATTTCAAATTTTTTCGTTGTGTTTTCTTTAAAATTTTAAAAACAAAATTTTATGAATGCTTGGAACCAACATAACATGCTCATCAAAGGGCTATTCTCAATTAATGAGGCTCAAGCTGTGGAAATGTGCCTGACATTTTGAGAAATGTCTGAAGTCTTGCCTTGAGGACTTTAAATTTATAACTAAAATTTAAGCTCAGTGATTGAGCTCATTTTTTTCTAGGAATAACATTATTCATTTTGCCCTTTATGAGAAATAGCAAATAAAAATTCCTTTAAAGTTTGCTGAGACTGTGAGTCTAGAAGGTTTTATGTTTATACCATTGATATAATCCATTTTAACATGTGCACTAAATCTCCCGCTTCAAAGATCTCGTTTTGGAAGAGGGGAATCCGGCAGAATTTAGAATTTTAGAAACTTTGTGTTTCTGAGTTGGGTTTGCTGCATCTTGTTCGGTAATTCTGCGCCGGCAAAGATTTCTATTGCTTTGCTCGGTGATTCCTTCTCCATCGTCGTGTGCTGTCTCGGTCACTTTTCTGGTTGCTGAGACACCACACGCAAACTCACCAGTTAAAGGAAGGCAGGGTTCATTCTGGCGTACGTCTCGGTCTCATCAGCGGGCTCCAGGGCAGGATGGCCAGGCAGAGGCGCAAGGTGGAGAGCTGGGGTTCGCCAACAGAAGCATCCGCAACATTGTGCTTCGGTTCGCGAACTCTGCGCTGGGTGACAAACACGGCGTGGGCTGTGCCCTCCAGAAACGTCGAACGAATTAAGTTCATGAACCCAGTTACCACTGAATGCGGTTGGCACCGACAGTTGTGTCAGCCACGTATCAGTGCGAGGGTCAGCTCGGGTCTGCACCAGCCTGCGGACACAGCGCACTTGGCTCTGGGGTGGAGGGCAAGGGGAACGCTGCGGGAAGTGGGCATGCCTCTGAGAGCGCCCCTCTGAACTGCGGGAAGTGGGCATGCCTCTGAGAGCGCCCCTCTGAACTGCGGGAAGTGGGC